AAACACATTGCTGGAATACTTCAGTAATGTTGGGGATAGTGTTAAGTTTTAAACAATGAAGCCATTTGCAACAAACATTACAAAACATAGACCTGATTCACTGGTTCATTAGTTATTTCAGAAGGTGACATGAGTGGAAATGAGAATGATTAAAGTCAACATTTACTTCAGTAGATCAAAAGGACTATATATCACATTGTATAACAAGTTCTTTACACATAGTACTTGGTTTTTGTTTATTTACAGCAGTCAGTGAAGATTTATCAAGAAATCAATCAAAAAGAAACTGAGATGCTGCTCTGCAGACTTCACCTTCAAGACAGACTTCCAGAGATGAAAAGGCTATTGCCAGAAGAGTTTTTAAAAATAGGTCCACCTGTAACACAGCATGTCACATCTGAGAAGGACCTAGTTCACACTTTTCTCAAAAGGCTCATAATGTTAGACCACAGGGCCAGATATATTCCAATAATACCTGACAGTCCTGAGATGACCCACCCAACGTGTTCCCGAAATTTCAGTGATGTGAATGACTTTCTGAAACCCAGTGTAGACACACAGATAAAACAGATTCATGTGCATCCAATGGACGTTCAGATGGCAGCATTTCACTGCTCAGATAGCTTCCTTAAACAGATGATGATAACAAAGCTCTCTCAGTGCCAGTATGCCTTACCTTTGCTTGCTCCTGACCCAGTCACAAATGAGATTGAGTGTCCCCTGTGGGCATTCAGACAAATAACAAAAACCTGGAAACCAACAGAAATCAAAAGTGACTCAAAGACTGTTGCCATAAAAAGTATGCCAATCTACAAAGCTGAGACACCCTTGGTGTCATTTTTCCGCCTGGGTTCACAGTCAGTGTCTAAATCTGAGCTGATGAACACTTTAATCAATGACCGTCACAGCACTTTCTTCCATAGAAAAAGCCCAGGAAGCACCCAGTGTCACCATTTGATGGATGGTGTGGCAGAGATTGCCTGGTACTGTCCTGCTGGAAAACCCAATGACATCTTTAATGACTGCATTGCCTTTTGTAATCTTCATGGTGATGCTCTGTCATTTGAAAAACAACGTGACATACTAATTGATAAATCTACAGTGAATGTTGTTCTTGTTTCAGCTGAGCAAAACAATGAGAAATTTACCTCAGTTATGTCACTCCTTTTCAATTCTCAAAAGCCTCTTATTTGCCTGTTTGATGGTGAGAACTGTAATGTTGCGGATGAAAAAATGAGAAAATACAAAATGGGTGTCAAAGACAGAAGCCACTCAGACTTATATGAAGGAATAAAAAAGATCATTAAGGAAGTTTTATATTCTCCAGATGGTTCCAGCTTTAAAACATCCTTCCAGCTTGAAGCCATGGCTGAGCTTTCAGGAATCAGAGTGGATGAAAATGATCCACCCTGTAAAGAAGGGAAATCTTCTGCTATGAAAATACTGGATTTACTCACAAAGAACAACTTGGATGTCTCAAAGATCAAAGATGAATTGCTCCCTTGTCAAGGCAAACTTTGGCATCAATGGAGTGAAACACACAAAGAAATGTATCATCTCAGAGGACAAATTGAAAATGACAAAAGTAAAAAACAACAGGCACTGATGAACATACGGAAAAAACAATGTGCGGCCTCCAGCAGTAAACTGATCAAGGTGTTTACTGGAAGTCTGTCATCATTCCCAGCAACAACAAAAAAGTATTTCCTGAAATGGACTCAGATCTTTATAAATTCTCTCACCACAGAGAATATTCCTTTAATTCTCCAAAACTACGATGAAAAGTGGTCTGAAGTCTTGGCTTTGAAAAACGAACATGACAAATCAAATCAAATTAAAGATTTGTTATTGGAAAAACAAACTGAGCTTGAAGAAATTTCCAAAAAACTGCAGTCTGCAACTTTTGGTTTGGAGCACATCTTCAGAGAAATGGGACAGATCTTTGAAGCCCATAGAGCAGTGGAAGGAGAGAAGAGACACACTGACTGGTACAAATACCCTGAGCTGGCTGCAGAGCTGATGATATCAGGATACCCAATGGAGCTGATGGATGGTGATGCAGGCCATGTACCTTTAACATGGATCTCCAGTCTTTTGGAGGAAGTCATCAACAAACTGGGGGACCAGAGAGTTTTTGTGTTGTCGGTTTTGGGCATACAAAGCAGTGGAAAGTCAACAATGCTGAACACCATGTTTGGATTGCAGTTTGCAGTGAGTGCTGGCAGATGCACAAAGGGTGCCTTCATGCAGCTGCTCAAAATATCAGAAGAAATCAAGAAAGATTTCAAGTTTGACTATGTTCTAGTGGTGGACACTGAAGGACTGCGCGCTCTTGAGCTGGAAGGTAAAAGCACTCGTTACCATGACAATGAATTGGCAACTTTTGTTTTTGGTGTGGGAAACCTGACACTGATCAATATCTTTGGAGAGAATCCATCTGAGATGCAAGACATTCTGCAAATTGTTGTTCAGGCTTTCATGAGGATGAAGAAAGTAAAAATTTCTCCTAGCTGTGTGTTTGTTCACCAGAATGTTGCAGATGTTGCAGCTGCGGAGAAAAACATGGATGGAAAGAGACGCCTGCTAGAAAAACTGGACCAGATGGCCAAACTTGCAGCCAAAGAGGAGGTTTGTAATGTAGAGTGCTTCAGTGATGTGATTGAATTCATTGTACAGGAAGATGTGAAATACTTTTCCCAGCTATGGGAGGGCAGTCCACCCATGTCGCCTCCAAATCCTGGTTACAGTGAGAGCATCCAAGAACTAAAGAAAACTATCCTCTCTAAAGCATCAAAATCTGCTGGGATCAGACTTTCAGAGTTCAAATCTAAAATTAAGGACCTGTGGAATGCCCTTCTAAATGAAAATTTTGTTTTCAGTTTTAAAAACACACTTGAAATTGCAGTGTACAGAAAACTTGAGGTCCAGTATGGGAACTGGACCTGGACTCTGAGGAGCAAGATGCTGACCACTGAAAACCAACTTCACAATAGAATTGAGAATGGAAATCTTGACAACGTGGGGGTGATTTTTCTTAACAAAGAAACAAGCGAAACATTTGAAGGAATCAAAAAAGATTTGGAAAAGTACTTTGACAATGACAGAGAGAAAGACATTTTGGCTCAGTGGAGAGGCCGATTTCAAATCAAAATCAAGGAGTTCCGTGATGAACATGTGATCAAAGTGAAAAGAAAACTGGATGAGGTTATCCAGCAGAAGAAGGCTTGTAAAAAGCTAGATGATAAGAAGCCAGTGTTCGAGAACACGCTGCTACAAAAGAGCAAAGAGCTTGCTCAGCTGCTGAAAGATAATGACAAAAATGAAAACGAGCTTGAAAAACAGTTCACCTCTGTTTGGAGAGACTGGGTTACTGAAATAACAACAGATAAAGAGCCTTTTGAGGACATCAACTTAAAAGAAGATTACTATACTATCATTGAAGAACTTGGTTTTGAACGAACTTTAATAAGTGACTGCGAAAAAAGTGGCAAATACAAGAAATTATTAGAGGTAGGTGATTATTCCGAATACATAATACTTTCGGAGAACAAGGATTTCTGTGTGACAAGTGAACCAAGTCAAGATAATGAGGAAAAGAAAACAACAAGGAAACCAAATTTGCGGTTTAGATTTACTACATGGGCCACAAACTTATTTGTAAGAGATTCAAAAACAAAAGAAATACAAAATAAATCTCTGAGTTACTTGCCACATGACGAACAAGAGCAGATTAAATTTCTCATAGATAAAGCTGATAAAGAGTCACTTGATGCAATCAGAAGTAAACCTATAGCTATCAGAGGCTACACATCAACTTACTTGCAAGAAGTGGCCAAACATATAAGAAAAGTAGTGGAGGACTTTCAGACAGAGAGAAAATATTATTTGAAGGAGGAGTTTACAGTTGATCTCTTACTGTATGTGTTTGGCTGTGTTGAAAGTTGGGTTGTAGAGTCTCAGCAGAAATTCAGAATTAACAATGATGAACTCACTTATTTACAAAGTAAAAAAGCACAGTATTACAACATTTTTAGAAGCTTTTGTAAGGGAAACTCATCTGCTGTTGTGCTTGGAGAACTGGTCTGTGAAACACTGAAAACCTCTATTCCATTGGCTGTCTATAACAAGACTGCCATTGGTCTCGCCGGAGAGATGAGGTGTAATTTACCTGCATTCAATGAGAACAGGCTGAACTTGGAAAAACATTTGTTGAAGTCCCTTGCTGAGAAAGAGGACTTTGCTGATTTCAGGGAATATATCAGAAATCCAAGGAGAAAAACAGAAGATTTTATAAAAGCAGAAGTAGAGAAATACATTTTTGAGGATCATAAAGATAAAGCTGTGGATATACTCAAGAAAAATGTTGAGGAGATCAACAAACTTGTGGAACAAGCTTTATTTACTGCAACTGAGAAGGTCAAATCCCAGAGTGGTGATACAAGTATGTGGCTGAAGGAATTTTCTGCTTTGCTAAAAGATGAGCTAACATTTGACACTCCCAACTTTTCTGAAAACTTCAGTGACATAAACTTTGTTGACTTTTTCAAGGAGATGATAAAGAAAAGCTTTAAATTGATCACTGAACAGATGAGCAGCCTCTCACTAGATAAACTGAGAGAATCCAGGCAGAAGCCTGAAGAAATCCTCATTGAGCAACTGTGTAAATGCTGTTGGGTAACATGTCCATTCTGTGCAGCTGTTTGTACCAATACCATTGAAGATCACAGTCCTGATGACCACAGTGTTCCCTTCCATCGAGCTGCTGCAATTAATGGAGTGCACTGGAGAAAAACAGTGGAGTTTCACACTGATTTCTGCACAACAAATGTTGCAAGTGAGCTTTTTTTTTACCTTTCTTATGTTTCAGAGGAATGTTTTCCCTATAAAGAGTACAGAAAAGCTGGTCCAATGTATGCTAACTGGAGAATCACTCCTGATGAGTCTAAAATGGCGTACTGGAAATGGTTTGTCTGTAAATTTCAAAAAGAACTGGAGGAACACTATAGCTTAGAATTCAAGGGCAAAGGAGAGATTCCCAAAGAATGGAGACAAATTAAAAAACATCAAGCTATTAAAAGTCTGGATGAAATGTGTGAATGAGTCAAAGAAAGCAACACTGCCAAAAAAAAAAAAGGGTACTGTGTTTTGACATTGTAACCCATTAATCAAGGGTTGAAAAAAACTGATTCATAATGATTTTTTTATTTGTACCTGTCTGGTGATTTTTTTAATGAGAGAAAAATGATCTGTGGGTCATCTGTAAAATTACGTGAAGAAGGTGATTAGACTGGTTAGATTTCGAGTTAAGGAAAAGAGGGCATTATATTTTTTGTTAATATGGAAAACATACATATACACTATGGAAACTGACACATTACAGTGACTTAGAGGTATATTAGAAAAAAGAAAACAGGAAAATAAATTAATGTTGTTAGTTAGAGAATAAATGTGTTTGAAATCTAAATTGCAAATATCATTGTCCTTTTAATTCTTAATACTCTATTTTTTTTACTTTACAAAGAGTATATATGCATCTATGTGTGTGCGTGAGTGTTTGAAATGTTTGATTATGTAATGCCAATATAATTTAGATATCATTTAAAGCAGTTATTGATAGTTATTGATTTGATCGTTATGTCGTCTTCATAGTTAGTTATAATTACTTTTCAAAAATAAAGAATTTAAGAAAAAAACTGTTGTTGTCTACTTTTGTTCTGATATCCCAAAAAAATCAAGTCTAAGTAGATAAATTAATGTTTTACTGCATAAATCACAAACATGTTTGTATTAAATTAAGTTTTGCAAACAGCAAACACAGCCAGTGGCTCAGGCATTTTCTGTACATTTTCTGTAGAACTACTAAACGACTAAAACTAAAATGACTGAACAATCCGGTGTTACAATAAGATGCCACACAAATTATTCTTTCCACTCCAAAAAATAGTTTAGAGTAGAATAGAATAGCTCTTTACTGTCACTGTTACAAGAACAATGAAACACAGTTTGGCATCTCTCTGTTGTGTGTAATACACAATAATGTAAGTATCTACACAATACAATACAATGCAAAACATATACATATGTGTGTTTTCCCTTTTTTTGGTCTTTCTCAGCTCACAATTGTGTTAACTGGTGACCCAAGTTCGACTGAGTCTGGATCAAAAAACATTTTACTTGACCATGATAAGGAAACAAATGTGCAACAGTTTTCATCAAAGCTGTATGATTTGTGTGGTCGACATATATGTACTATTGGGTTGGCCTACAAGACACTGAA